GTAAACTAGAAAGAGATTTTTTTTAACTGCATATTTCAATGTATATTAAACTGCAAACTGTTGAATTGCAACTGATCTAGATAACCACGAGTGTCATTATTTATGTATGTGTGTGTGTGCATGTATTATTTTTTTTTGTTTGACAGAGGTAATTACTTAGTTCTTTTTGGATATTCTTACAGATTAAAAGGACCGATCAAACATTCACTACAGTCAAATGCTGTTATATAATATGAAGAGACCATAGGAGTATGTCCTATCTGCTGCCTTTTCTCCTGCTTTAAACGTTTGAAGTTCAGGGTGATGGGTTTCGTTTGTGAGTCATAAAATCATGATCTCTAGTCTCTCTTCCAATTCACCCTCTTTATCTTACTTTACATAGAAGGAGTAGTGTGACTGAATACACCCCTGCATTCGCACATACGCATTATTGTAATAATCTTTGTACCAACTATGCCTTGTGAAGTATCATCTGAAAACTAATAATCATTGAATAATAATGTCATGGTGAAATGTATGTAGTAACATTTTATGTAAAGTTATGAGTTCCCCTTATATGGTGGTGATGGCATGTGTTCAAACCCATATAGCCCTGTCTAGGCAGAAGCTGTTAAACATGTCTATCCTAAACAAAGACATTTTATTTTTACCTCAATTTACATATATGTAGTAAACAGGGTCCTTGGGACAGGAAGAGGGGGTAAACTCATTTCTCAAAGACAAAGGACAAGCTGACACCTCTAATGAAGTATCATTAACAGAGCCGTCCCTTGAGTACAACGAATCGGTGCCACCACCCTGAGCCCCGTGCTTTGGGGGGTCCCGCAGGCAGGGAGGTGAGGCGGGTGGGCGAGTGGGGTGAGGAGGCAAACAGGGAGGCGAGCAGCAGGTGGGCGGGAGAGGGTGAGGAGGAGCCCTCCTACCAGAACCTCCCCCTCCCTGCTGGCGGGCCCTGCCGATCAGCACCTCCCTCTCCCTCCCAGCGCCTACCTCGGATCAGATGTTTCGTGGTGTTAGGAGGCGCTGGGGGGCAAGGAGGGTGCAGCACGCTTGGGGAAGGGGATGGACCTGGGCGGGGGCGAGAAGAAGCAGGGTGGGGTGGGGCCTGGAGGGGCTGGTGGGGAAGCACCCCTCAGCAGCTAGGGGCTGAGTTTCTAATGTCCTGGGCCCCACACCCTCCTAGGGATGGCCCTGGTCATCAAAGTTGATTGGCAATCACTGGTCAAATGGCCCCTCTTTGGCAGCGAAGGGGAGCAGGAACAGATTGTTTTTCATTTTAGCAAGCAACAACATGGAATCTCTTTCACCATGAGATCCCCTGCCTCCGTTCTCACAGCTGGAAGGAACTTTATCTAGAGGTAACCCTCAGGAAAATGCTTTTTGAAGGGTGAATGGACAATAAAAATGAGGGGCAAAACGATCCGAGGTTATCTCCATCTCTCTGTCCCTCTTTCTTTCACCTAAAAAGACAAAGAAACCGACCCTTTGACTTTGGGGGAGTTCCTGACCTGAGAATTTTGGCAGCAATGTTTCTGGGAAGCTGCGGTAAGGATTTAACTTGAACCAAGTCGAGCTTGTTAAGTTCAGTTACTAGAACGTGTTTTATCTCTTTTTCTCTAGTAACCATTTCTGACTTTAATACCTTATCCATGTACTCACTTAAAATCTATCTCTTTATAGTTAAATTAACTTGTTTTTTTTCTAATCCAAACTAATCCAGTGTTATGTTTAAATTGAGCTGTTTGGTAATTCCATTTAAAGTAGCAGGCTGTTAGATATCTGACCCCTTATAGGGGCTAGGGTGACCAGGTGTCTGGTTTTTGACCTGAACACCCGGTTGAAAAGGGACCCTGGTGGCTCCGGTCACCACCACTGACTGGGCTGTTAAAAGTCCTGTCGGCGGTGCTGTGGAGCTAGGCAGGCTAGTCCCTACCTGTCCTGATACCACACTGCACCCTGGAATTGGCCAGCAGGTCCAGCTGCTAGGTGGGGGGGCACGGGGCTCCGTGCGCTGTCCCCGCGTAGAGCACCGGCTCCGCACTCCCATTGGCCGGGGACCGTGGCCAATGGGAGCTACGGGGGCAGTGCCTGTGGGCAAGAACAGCACATAGAGCTGCCTGCCACACCTCCGCCTAGAAGCCGGACCTGCTGCTGGCTGCTTCTGGGGCGCAGCGGAGAGTCAGGACAGGCAGGAAGCCTGCATTAGACCCTGCACTGTGCTGCTGACTGGGAGCTGCCGGAGGTAAGCCCGGGGCCCCAACCCTTTGCCCCAGCCCTGAGCACCCCCGCAAACCCAGAGACTCCTTCTGCACCCCAAACTCCTCAATCCTGGCCCCACTTCTGAGCCCGCACCCCCAGCCAGGGACTGCACCCGAACCCCCAGCCCCCTCCCACATCTTGAACCGCTCATTTCTGGCCACACTAGAGGGGACCGAACCAGGCCCCAAATGGTCCCTGAACCATCCCACTATGAAGCAGACATCAAGATGGGGTAACTTTATCTTTGCGCCTCCCCACTATCATTCCTGTGCTAAGCACCGAAATGGAGTAACATAGATCTGGGACCATCGTTTCTTCATGCTATCTCTTGCTGTTATCTATGAGGATACATGCATTTCATCTGCGAGTTGGGGTGGTCTCACGTTTGTCAAGCACACTCCCACTATGCTACAGTGCATCAAATAGACATACCACAGATTGGCCAGGCTATAATGAGTCTAATTGTTGTTCTTCCACCTGATTATTTGGGCTGTTGTCCTGAATCCCTTCTGCTACTGTTAATTGCAAGCCTTGACCCCGGAGTCCTGGGATAATCTGTACACCAAAATGTCCTGCACCTGTGCAGCAAGTCAGGGAGAGAATAAGATGTTGTTTTTAAAGATGCAAATAATGTAGGTAATTTTAAAAGTTAAATTTTAATAGAAGTCTCTTAAATCCAGCACTTAGCCAAGCTATCCATATTTAGCTCTTTCAGTCTTTGTTCAGGTCAATTCCTTTGAGCCCCCAAACCATTCTTTCCCTGTCCAGAAGATGTGGCACCCAGCACTGGGGCCTGCTTCTGCTCCCATTGAATCAATGATAAAACTCATAATGACTTTAATGAGAGCAGGATCGGTAGAGCCCTGCAAATCCATGGGTATCCGCTTTATATCCACGGACCATTTCTGCAGATAGCAGCGTGGGTGCAGATACAAATTTTGTATCCACGCAGGGCTCTGACGGTAAGAGCCGGGTGGGCAGCTATGAGGAACCGCAGCACAGACCCTCCACCTGCCCATGGTGCGAGGGGTGTGTGTTTGAGAGCAGTCGCTGGTCCTGGCCCTGCTCCCCAGGCTCCCCACCCGGCTGAGGACAGGTGGAGGGTCCTCATGGGGGTGCCTGCCCCCCACGGTAAATAGAGCCCTGCAAATCTGCAGACAGTTTTTGCGGATCAGATGCGGATACATATTTTTGTATCTGTGCAGGGCTCTAAGGATCAGACCCCCTAGCTGAAGCTTGTCACAGTCCAGTATATGATTCAGCTTCCTCCCTTCAAAGCCACTGCTATTGGATTGCTTCAGTTTGCTCTGTGGAATAATGCAGCCATCCATGCTATGCACTGCGCTGTCCTTTAGGTCAGTAGGTTCATGCACCACAGGCAGTGCCATTCTAATTCATAGATTACCAGAAAGTGGCTATTTAGTAGACTGGAAAGATGGTGCTAGCACTGTGAGACCGAGTGCATCACCTTTTCCTACTACCTGGTTCCCCAGTCCCAGTCCTCTGTTGAACTGGTGTTCTTGTTGTGCTACACTGACTTATTATTTTGTTTTCGGTTATTTACAAAATATCTGCTGTTTTTGACATAGTTTGAAATGGGCCAATGTAGTAGGGTGAGTTATGCTAATTAGCACTAATGACTGGGGTATCTATTGTGAAGTACAGAGTTTTATGAGTTGGCAAGTTAGCCTATAAAAAAGAGCTTTAATAAAATCAAGTATGCTGTATCTGCATATAATTTATTTATTTGATAACTCTAATTTAGCCCGAAATATTAGGATAATACCTCATAATGTACTAGTGCGTATAAGTACTGTAATGTATTTTGCAGAAGTAGTGAAGTTAGAGACCTAGTCTACATGTAAAAGTTTTGCAAGCATACCTATGTTGGTTAGTAGCCTGAAAAAAGTAACCCCCTAATCAAGGTCATTGTGCTGGCAAAAGCCTTAGTGTAAATGCAGTTATGCCAGCAAAAAAGTCCCTCTGCCAGTGTGTCTTTTTCATTCATGGAACTGGTCTAAGCTATGCCAACAAAATAACTCTTTTTTGGGGGGCGGGGGGGCTAATATAAGCTGCGTCTCCACTAGGAAGGCTTGCTAGTATAGCTATGCTGGCAAACCCTGTCTAGTGTAGATAAGGTCTTAGTGTGTTCTCCATTACAGTGTTCTGATATTAAATCATTTTTGAGCAATGAGGTAGAAACCACCTTTCTTTGTGTTTTGTGCATGAGAGTGTGTGTGTAAGAGAGAGAGAGTGTGCCGGATCTGTAGATTAGGAAGTGTGAAATAGAGTGTGTAGTACTGTAGGGAGCAGAGACTGTAGCCTAATGGTTCGGTATTTAGTTGATCTTAATCTTATTGAGGACCACTTGAAAGATGATGGTCCGCAAGAGGTCTGCGATTTACAAGACTTCAAAATAGGATACTTTTGTCAGCTAAATTTTAAAAAATCATTATTCTGTAGACTGGGAGATAATGTAAATGGGAATATTATTGCTAATGAAATATTGCCAAAAGAGTTAGTGTAAAATGCTGTTATAACAGTTTGTGTATACAGCACATCTGATCTTCAAAACAAAGATGCTTCTTTACTTCCTGTGAACATCACAGTATTATTTGCATCTGTTTAAATCCTGTTTCTCTTAATGGTTTAACAGACAAACAACTTTACTTTTGACTGAACTTGCATTTGCAGTTAAACAGTAGTATAACGCTTTTCTCTCATATTTATGGTCTTCCTAGGTTGGCAGCCTCGCTGGTTTGTTTTAGACAATGGAATATTGTCCTACTATGATTCACAGGATGATGTTTGCAAAGGCAGTAAAGGAAGTATAAAGATGGCAGTATGTGAAATTAAAGGTAAGATTTAAATAAGTGTTTATAAGAGGAAATTTAATTGGCAAGGGAATGAACAAGATGACCTAATACCACTTTTGCATCACTAATTTCTATGATGCTTAAAAAAAGGTAAGGGGAAAAATCACACATCTAGACGTGTTTAGTCAGACATGCTTGCTACATCAACCACAATTACTGTAGTTACTGAACATGAACTCTGAAGCAAAATAATAATGAAAAAGGTTATGACATTTACTGCTCCTTTATGAGGTTTAAAAACAGCCATATGAACCCTTGGGTATTAAAACCCTTGGGTATTTCTGTTTGTCTTGCCTTCATTTATGATATTTGAAATGTATCTGAAGCTGTTACCATAGCTACAGCTCTTCTCCCTCCCAAACTGAGAGGGAAGGAATGCTGAATGTTAGGAATTGTTTGCTGGGAGAGCCACAGCAGTGATCTGGTGGGTGCCACATTTAGGCTCAAAAGGGTAGTTTATCTTCCATTACTTTCTGCCTTTGGCTTTTTTTTCTGATGCACCTTTGTGGAGGTATTTGTGGTGTGGGTACCTGATCACTAGAAAATGGACCGAGTCCATCTACTTCTCTTACATAGGCTAGCAAGCAGTTATCGGATGGCAACAACTTTTGGTTACTACTCCCAGTGCCTAGATTGAAACCAGTGACCTAGAAGTGAAAGGCTTATGTCTCATTACTAATCTCTTGAAACATTCAGTCCCCTTTCTTGTCGTCTTGTTCATTTTCTATAATATGGATGCAAGTAATTTGGGATTAATTCCATCTCTCATGTACCCAGGGCTGTCCAGTGCTAGGCCTGGGAGTACTGTGGTTGAGAAATATGCCTGGTACTCTGTGACACCTGGGGCTAATTAAAGATGTAGTATTGAATACGATGGCTCTAAGTGGAATACTGCTCCGTTCTCATGCTTGAGAGGATGGTGACTTTGACACAGAACCCAGAAGGTTGCATCAGAAAGGAAAGTGAGATTGATTTTAGCCTAGTCCCTCACAGATATTTGCCCACATCACAAAAATCTTCAGGTTGGCATGATTGAATCAGGACTAGACTAACAGTGGTGTTTCAGGTGAAGAATGTTTTGGCAGTGTTTTGAAGGAATTTTGCACAGTATCTGTCCACACTGTGTCTGGCTCTAGCCATTACTTAGTCAATTATGTTCATGAATGTCAAATTCATACAGTGTTTAAAATTGTTTTGAATAGCTTCCGTTTCTTACCAAATACAATCTGTAATATGTAAATAACTTGAAACAATATGGTCTGAATTTGATAAGTAGTATCCTTACTGGTTTAGTTATCTTTTGCAAAATTAGTCTTTTTTCCCTCTTTATCATTAGTTCATCCAACAGACAACACAAGAATGGAGTTAATAATCCCAGGGGAACAGCATTTCTATATGAAAGCAGTTAATGCAGCTGAGAGGCAGAGATGGCTGGTAGCACTGGGTAGTTCTAAAGCCTGTTTGACAGACACCAGAACAAAAAAAGAAAAAGGTATTTATACCATTAAAGTGTATGAAATCTAATAACATTGTTTTTGATTAAGATCGTTCTTAATTTGTCCCATTCTAGTGGTTGAATTTAGTATTATTTATGTAAGATGTAAATCTGATTTACATATTGATCAATCTTAATTATGGATGTAATCCCTGCTGTGTGCATGTAATAACTTCCGGTTTATATTTAAATTGGAATTTCCAATGGGAACAGGAAAAGAACTGATCAGCCTTCGCTAAAGTTAGCAGAAAGGAAGAATTATTGTTACTGTATTTCTCCGAGTAGTTCAATTCCCTTTACGTGTGTGTGTGTATAAATATGAGCTCATTTTAATTAAATATAGTACTTCGATTGAAAGGTATCACTAAGCATGGTGAAATGGATGAGCTTAAAAATCTCCTAGCTGGCATTGCTCCTCAGAATTATGAATTTTGCCAGTCTAATTAGCCCAGTGAGTGTCTCTGCAATACGCTGGCAGCTTCTAACTGGAAGATGTTTGACTGGCTATGCAAAGATATATCTGAGCAAGGAAAAAATATTTAAAATATTGCAAATGTATGGCATCAGGTAGGTCAAATCACTTTTTTTATTGTTCATATGCAACTGGCTTGTGACTTCACTTTACTACTCCTGAGTTTTATTACACTACTGGTTGTCAGAGTTTCTCCCTGTTTTGGGTTTCCATGTTATGTTCAGATTTGTCTTGTTCCAGATATTGGCCCTACCAGCATCATAGAAATGTTGGTATTTAAAAACTAAGGGTCACATACACAGCTGGTGTAAGTCAGCATTAACTCCATTGACTTCAAGAAACTATGTCAGTTTGCACCAGGTGAGGATCTGCCCCCTTATCGACAATTATCTGACTTGCAGACGCGTTGGCTGGGATTTTGAACTGAAGTCTCTGGGCTACCTCCTTTAGGCCCCTTTGAAAAGCCAGGCCATAAACTTGGGCAATAGCACGTGCTTACATACATTGTAGTAATGGTATTCCAAATCTCAAACCTGCCCAAGACAATGGTGAACCATCTGTGTATGAATCATATTCTTATCTCATGAAAAATATAGAAATCAGTCAGATGCTTCTCTGCCCTGTGCTGCAGTTCTGTGAGTATTCAGCACTTGCCCATGTGACAGCCTGAATGGACAACCAAAGTTGTGGGGCAGTCACCCAGCCTCCTCTAGGAATGACACAAAGGTTTCCTTATGTCCTGTGTCTAAGCTTAAAAAATACTGGACCAAATCAGACTCGCTGCAAGAGCACAGGGAAATTACACAAGTTTTAGCTTTCATTGTCCTGCCTTCCACTTCTAAAAGCAAAGGGTGTGATTCAGCCCAGTCTGGTCTGCCCAGCGAATGTGATCAGAACAGCTCTGTTCTTAATGGCTATACGCCTTTAATTTTGCATCATTTAGATTGTGTCTGTGCTACAGAATTTTTTGAATATATTTCATTCAGCTGGACCAGCACAAGTGGGAGCCCTAGTTTAGACAAGGCTCTGGTGGTTTCTAACATTTTTACCACTGTTAGTTACAACTTCTGAGCAGCAGATTTAACTGTCATGGTGAAAAACATAAAACCAGAAGCCACTGGAGGCTTGTATACACTAAACCTCCCATCAGCAATACCAAGAATTCAGCTCCAGTGAGAATGTTATCCTGTAATTCTGTAGTGCAGAAAAGGCCTGTAAAGACAGAACAGGCACATCTTTAAATAGGCAGTCAGGGAGAACTGTTACAGCATTTATTAACACTGTTTACAATGCTAGGTTATACAGCATAGGAAATATGAAATTAACACAAAACCTGCAGCAAGCACGATGGGGAAAAAAGTATTTTGTTCCTGCTGCTGGAGAGCTCTTAGTTACATAAAAGGCTGAAACTTAAAAAATCTAGAGCTGCCACCCTCAAAATGCTGGTTGTAGCTGTTCTGGAGTCATTTAGTTGCTGCTGTTCTGATTTCTCTCCATAATCCCCATTTCTGCCTCCCTAGTTTTTCTTGGTAAAGACTGGTAATCCTCTGTAGCCAGTCTGACAGATTTATAATTTGCAAGGTTCCCTGAGTGAGCAACCACTCTCCTCAGGTGCTTGTGGATATAGAGAAGCAGACCTTCACCTGTTGAGGCCACAGGCTTTGTCCATTGTGTTTTCCCTGGGCTGGCACGGTAAATAAGAAAATATTTAACCTCTTGTTTGCTGGTTATATACCTTTCTCCATGGCCCCTTCCAAATTTATGTGTACTTTGTGAAGCTATTCCCAACTCATTTAAGAATCCCTTCCTAGTCTTGAAAGGAATTTCAATCTGTGTAGAGCCCTTATATGGAAAAAAATAAAATTTGTTTGTAAAAATTGTGTAGATAAATCTTATGCCGTGATTGGTGGGGTTTTTTATTATTTTTTTTTCTTGTAGAAATTAGTGAAACCAATGAATCTCTCAAAACCAAAATGTCCGAACTTCGCCTCTACTGTGATCTCTTAATGCAACAAGTTCACACAATACAAGAATTTGTTCACCATGATCAGGCAAGCTCATCTCCCAGCATTGAGGTATCAGATTTCTAAAATTATACTGGAGAACCTGATTATTTAAATCATCTTAAGTTATTGTTGTCACCTTATGCACCTTATCAGCAACTTAATGTTGGAAAATATTTACATCAGGTCAGTTTAATAGATGTTTAAAACTTGTCTATATTCAGATACACTGGGTTCAGGAGTAGGGTAATACAGTCCACAATAAAAAATATTATGTAGATACAATGCAGGATGACATCAGAGTCATTTTAACAAGGAAATATGTTGGTGAGTCATTCAGTTAAAAGATAGAAGCAAAGCTGGCTGGGTTGGTTGCACGTGAATTCTCTTTGTCTAAGAACTCTACAATAGACAATAATTGAAACATCCTGTTCCTTTATGCTTTGCTAGAACCTCCCTTATCTTTGCAAACTAGAATCCCAGGTCTTGAAAACTGCTGCAAGTGCCCACTGCATTTGGGCATTCATAGGAAATCTGTTTGCTCTTCTAATCCTAGTTCATGACCAAATTCAGCCCTGGAATATGTGGGCCACTTCACTGATGAGTGTAGGATTGTGCCCAGTTACAGCAGGGTTGAATTTGACCCAGAGACTCCTTTCATTAGGAAAGATAATAGATCTAATGGATGGGCCCCACTCTAATTAACTTATTTCACTAAATAGAAAATAAATTGATGACTCCAGTAGAAGTGATGGTTGCTCAGTCCTTCTGAAAGTTCAGCCCCATGTATTTAGGAAGCAGGAAAAACATTTCAGTGTTTTGCTGTATTACCCCAACCTCCCAAAATAGTCTTCTGCTATTATATGTGTGTGTTCATTTTTCAATAAGGTTGATTCTAGCTACCATTAAAAAGAATAGTCACCAAACTTGTATTTTTTGAGAGTTTTTGGCCAGTTAACTGGGAAATCAGTTGATTCTAAAGTAACATTTTCTGTCTTTTTACATTCTTGCTGATGTTTGTGCTGTCATTCGTTTTCAGAACATGAACGAAGCCTCCTCCTTGCTGAGTGCCACATGTAACACATTTATTACAACACTTGAAGAATGTGTGAAGATAGCTAATGCCAAGTTTAAGCCAGAGATGTTTCAACTGCCTCATCCTGATCCCTTAGTTTCTCCTGTGTCACCTTCACCTATTCAAATGGTCTGGATGTTTTATAAGTGTAACATTTTAAAGTGTTATTCTGTTGATTGGAAGGGTAGAAGAATATATGCTATGTAGTCACGTGTAATCCTGACTCAACTGAAGTCAACAGTTTTAGCCTTAAATGTAAATCACTACTGACATGTTCCCTAGTCTGTTTGCTTGCCAGCCTTCACATAAATTGTTCATCGTAGGAGTAATTCTCCTGTGGATGATGACAGTGCTAATCGTACCCAAGTACTGGATTAACGCTCAGTACTTTTCAGCATTCATACGAAAATTAAATTATCCTGTTACCTATACTGCAGGGTTATTTTTTTAAAACGTTAAATACAGTAACTCCTCACTTAAAGTCGTCCGGTTAGCATTGTTTCATTAGTACGTTGCTGATCAATTAGAAAACATGCTCATTTAAAGTTGTGCAATGCTCCCTTATAATGTTGTTTGGCAGCCACCTGCTTTGTCCACTGCTTGCACAAAGAGCAGCCCGTTGGAGCTAGCTGATGGGGGCTTGGAACCAGGGTAGACCGGCAGCCCCTCTATCAGCTCCCCACACCCCTAAGTTCCCTGTGCAGCAGCCTCCCAGCAGGGAGTTCAGCTGTCCCTCCCCTCACTGCCATGTGCTGCTCCTGCCCTCTGCCTTGGAGCTGCTCCCAGGAGCCTCCTGCTTGCTGTATAAGGGGGGCGGGGAAAGAAGGGGGCTAATGTCAGGGTGTCCTCCTCCCCCCTGCTCCTGCCCCCCTCTTATCCCATCTCCATAGAGCAGGGGGGAGACAGGACAGGGCTCAGGATGGAGGGAGCTTGCTGGCAGCAGGGGCTGTCTCAACTTGCTGATCTACTTAAAAAGGCAATGTACTTAGAGTGGGGGTCAACGTACTTAAAGGGGCAATGTGCATCTCTCTCTCTCACTCACACACACGCACACAGGTGAGAGTCTTTGTCTCTGTTTGCCATGCTGTCTCCCCTCCCTCCATTTGTGTTGCCTTGTGAGGCTACATTAGCAACAACGTGTTAACCCTTGAGGGCTCAGCTATTCTAGTTCATCATTTAGCAGTAAGGCATTCCCTGGGAAATATCCCACCCTCTTCCACCCTCTGACTTCACCACCTCAACCAAGCATCACAGTCATCATTGCTGTGTATAATATAGTCTTTTGTCTGGTGAAAAAAAATTTCCTGGAACCTATGTACATTAATTCTTATGGGGAAATTGGGTTCGCTTAACATTGTTTCGCTTAAAGTCCCATTTTTCAGGAACATAGCTACAATGTTAAGTGAGGAGTTACTGTATTCATTGTTCTCTTTTAATACTGTAACCTGGCTGCTCATCAAAACAGAGAACTTCTTTGTGGCTTAACTCTCAGCAAGTGCATTTCAGATTCCCAGTGTTAATATGTCTCTTTCTAAACAATGTCCTGGTTGATCAAATATGCCTTTAGCTGACAAGTTTGTTTTTGTTAAATAATGTATAAGATTAAAATACTTTATGGAATTCTTAATTTTTTATTTATTTTCCTGTTGAGGGTTGGGATAAGTGAGGCTCTGTCAAACTTTACTTCATGTATGTGGATTCTCAGATCTACTCTGTTCTAGGTCTCTCCCCCCCCCACTTCTTTCCCTTTCATTTATTTGTATCTGATAATCTCCTCCCTTTCCTCCCATCCACTCAAACGACTCTTATTGATCAATCTTTGGGTCAAATGATTCTCTTGGGCACATTTAGAGAGTTCCCATTAAAATCAGAGGGCACCCTGTGTGCATACCAAATGGCAAAATTTAGCTCTTGGATTAATCCTTTTGTATAATGTAGTCTTGAACCTGACATTAGTTAAAAACGTTTTGAGGTTTCTGTGGATTCTACCAATGATCCAGTAGAAATTTTGAGTAATTTTTGAGGCTAGAGAGAATGAGATGTATAGATCCCAGGTAATATTTTTGGGTAGTAAACTAGTTCTCTTTTATTAGTGCTTTAAAAATTCCTGCATTACTGGCAATCTATCCTCTTTCAAATAGCTAAATAAGATTCCTTAATTGTGGTTGACTTTTGTTTTAAATAATAATTTAAAAAAATCACCTTCTCTCTCTGAGAAGTGTAAATAGAGTATATGGCTGTGTATAAGAATTTTATAAATCCTGATAAAGAGATTACAACTTGTTTCTTTCATTTTCTAGATGAAACGCTCCATTAGCCATCCTGGTACATATAGTTCAGAGAGGTAAGAATACAGATTGCTGTTAAGTAGGCTAATTCACTTTCTGAAAGCACCTCACTGGACCAATTTAGCAAGCCCCTCAGTAGGGAAATATCAGCTGACGTCACTATGCAGAGGATTTGCATGGTTGGCAAATGCTTTAAAATTTAGGAAGTGACAATCTAATATCAATAGTTTTGCAAATCCAAAATTAAGACACAGATGTTGCAACTTACATACAAGTCAAAGATATACTAGTTAAGTTTAAGTTTCCATTTTTATTCTGAGTAATATTCCAAATTTGATATATTTTTAGTTTAGTTTTAAAAAGAAATATAAAAATATCATCAAGGAGAGACTTCAACATTGGCAAAATAAATAAGTAAAGCCCACTGTTGTTTGTTATAGATTTTTTTAAAATCATTATAATAGAAATATGTACATAATCTTTCTATGGTTTTTGGTAGAATTGTATAATTTAACATGACCATTATAACTTATCCAAGTTGTTTAATCAAGTCTTATGGCAAATAATGGAAGTATTATCTAAGGCCTTCATCCTGCAAATGCTTATGCATGTGAGTACCTTTATGCGAATAAGTAGTTTCAGTGGGACAACTGTACTTGCATAAAATTATTTATACACATTAGAGTTTGCAGGATCGGAGCCTGAAACACTAAGATTTTTGATGATTCATTCTTGTACAATTTGAATTATATTTCTTTTTGCAAGAATTATATTCTTACCACATTTTTCAGATTTCAAAATCTGTGCAGGCTAACCGTGTTCTGTTCACATGGAGTTCCTTTCAGTTTACTCCTCAGTATTGCTCTTTACTATCTTTAAGAGCACTATAAATACCAAAAGATATATCTTAAAATAAAAGCTAATAGACTGGCTAGATGTTTTGTTATAAGTTTTTAAAACTAATAAATCCTATTTAATTTCAGTAGTCACGCCACAAAAGAACCAATTTCTTCACTCCACCGGTTATCCCAACGACGCAGAAGAACATACTCCGATACAGAATCCTATAATGATAATCCTCTTGAAGATACAGAGAGTAAGTTGGGAGAGAGACAGAGTGTGTGCTTATGTTGAATTTGTTACCATACTTAGCATAATTGTTGTACTGCTAACACCAATGCAAAGAGAATACTTAAAATTACAATCTTTGTATGTAATCAAAGCCATTGCATGAAACAATAAAGTTGCTTGTAGGATTCCTATGTAATGAATTAAAAGTGCTGATGTATTCACTATGGCCCTGACTTTGCCACCCTTTACTCACCTCGACTGGTATCTTAGATCTGGTGTAGTCCCACTGAAATCCGGGGTACCATTTGTAAAGTAAGGTACTACCCCAGGTGAGTAAATCTGACAGAACTGGGCTCTACATAGGGATTACATGAACAACAAACATTTGAACTACACATTTTCATATATAAACTAACATTCGGAAACCTGTGCAAATGTTGAACAGTTCTTTCCGATCTGACCATTATAGTGAGTCAGATTCTTGTTTCAGTTACACCAGGGCAGTCCCATCGAGTGGAGCTAATTTCCACTGCATGGAGTTACACTGGTAGAACTGAGAGGAGAATGTGATAACCCAGTGTATTAATAAAGAACAGTTTATACCAGTGGCCTACCCCCCGCCCATATACAGAGCAACACTCTTCTGAAACAACCCAGCATGGTCAGGTTTCAGAGTAGCAGCCGTGTTAGTCTGTATTTGCAAAAAGAAAAGGATGACTTGTGGCACCTTAGAGACTAACAAATTTATTTGAGCATAAGGTTTTGTGAGCTACAGCTCACTTCATCGGATGCATTCAGTGGAAAATACAAAGGGGAGATTTATATACATAGAGAACATGAAACAATGGGTGTTACCATACACACTGTAACGAGAGTGATCACTTAAGGTGAGCTATTACCAGCAGGAGAGTGGGGGAAAAAAACCCTTTTGTAGTGATAATCAAGGTGGGCCATTTCCAGCAGTTGACAAGAACGTCTGAGGATGGTCAATACATCAAAACAACAATCTAGGACTATTATACTCTATTTCAATGATCCCATGATAAGTAGATCCCATTGCGTAAATATGCTGAGGTAAGGTCTCTTTATGGTATTCCCATGAAACTCCCAATTGTTTTTACTCATTTCTGACTTTATCAGGAAGGCTGTGACCTGCTTTCTTCTTGATTAACTCTGGTTTGGCTTGGATCCTTTCAAGAGTGACCCAGTTCTGGGCCAGCCTCTCCTCTCTTGGAGTGTAACTTACCCCTTGTGCAGAAGGTCAACACAAGGCCTATGCACTGCTCATGTCCCACTTAACTCCTAATTGGTGTTACACCTTGTGTTGTCTTTTTGAACAAAGGTGAATTCCACCCTTTATGACCATGGTCTGGTTCCTCTTCCCATGCATGACCCAGTCTGTCTTCTCTCATGACAGCTGTGGTCGGATCAGTCATGTTATTTTGGGTAATCCCAGTCTCTTCTTGTTCCTTGTAGAACTGCTCCAATTTCTAGCTTTTTCACTAATGTAGTTTTTGTCTTTTGCCATGTTAGACAGAAGAGTCCCTTTTCTGTCTTCCACTTTAAGGGCTCCAACTTCCCAGAGTTGATTCAGTTCCTTCTTTTCCCCAGTAGGTGGCACCGAAAATAACAAACTTTCAGTAGGGGATTCTGTATCCCATCCATTTTATTAATGAACTGTTTACACACTTTCAAGACCAGTTCTTGTTTGAAAAATGACTGGAAAAGGGCACTGTGGAGTTCCATGTTTATTCCGGCTCACTGATTCTGTATCTGATTTGCGCAGTTTAAAAGATAAAATGTACTTTCTTACTGCCAACTACTGGGTAAGATTTAAGCTACCACGAAGGATGGGGCTGGGGAAGACCAAGCAAAGAATGCTCCTGATGTTTTTCCAAACAGTGCATCTATATATAGAAATAAAAAGACCTGTTAGCAGCCCACTTTTCCGTGATAGACCACCTCTGACACCTCTCCAGGTGCTACATAAATGCCAAAGTGGAACAGATGTTTCATTTGAAGTGGAGAACTTTCCAGAGGCTCTGTGATGTCTTCCAGTAACCTAAATATGCATTAGTTATCTGGCATAACCTTGTTAAGTAGAGTGACATTTGAATAGTGTACTATTATTACCCTGTATTCTGACTGACATGGAGAACAGCACTCTTTGTGCTCATCAGCTGCTTGAATATCTGATGGAAAAAGTGTCATTTTTCAAATGCAGAAACTAGTCTCTGACTGATTTGCCAAGTGTTTAAATCTATCATTAATGAGCCATCTACTGATCAGCCAGACAAACATCCTTTCTGGTATAATGTGCAGTAGACTGGGTTCTTTTAACAGAGCAAACACCTTTATTAATGTCTGACGTGTCCCAATGGAGTTTTTCAGTGAAAGGATTATTGCTGCACTAATTCTTAACACACGCTCTTTGTTGGCTCCTTTGACTGAATTTCCCTGTGCACCCCAGAGATTCTTCTCTTATAATATTTGTGTATTGCATAGTATGATTATCTGTAGTTCTCAGTAGCTTTTAACATTACTCATCCATTACCCCAGGCGTTGATGTAGACTAGAATAATTCAATGCAGTCCATAGGGAGCATGCAAATATTACGTCCCATAATTTAAAAAAATGTTGTTTATGTGAAATATTAGCAAGCAGAATGATTAATAAATTGAATTGGAGCACAGTTTAAATACGAATCAATATCTTAATAGGACATGCCCACAGTTCCAGAAGTGCTCTCAATGGACACTTGGCACCATCTACCATTCCTGAAGAAAACAGATTGGTTTCAAAGAAAAGATCTGAACTGGAAGAGACTCTTCCATCCTCTTCTTCCTGAAGAAACTGCAGTATTCAACTTCCTATAAGTAGTGCTATGCAAAAGCTGCTATAATTATATTATTGTTATAGGGAGTAGTTATTTCCCTTTTAGAAGGATTTTTCTGCACTTTATAGAATAATGTAAAAACTAACTTTGAATTGTATTTTATCTTTATATAGTTTATTTGCAAGAGTATTTTCCTAATAACTTCACAGTTTGAATGTGCATTTTTTTGGAACAAATGATAGCTTAACAGATAGGCATTTGCATTTGTAAAAGTGTAGCTCTTTTCTAAAAAGTGTGCTGGTTTGATAGTTTAATAAACCTGCAGATTTTAAATCTTGAAGGTTTCAGATTTAGGGTGGCGAGTGGGGGGGAATGTCACTTGTGCCATGGACCAATTGGTCATTTGTACAAAGTTAGGACCCGGTCTTGCAGTCCTTGTGCAGTCACTGTTCTCCTTGAATGGGAATTTTGCTTGTGTAAGAAGTAAGGGATTGAATCCCTAATGGGTTAATATAGCGGCTTGATGGTAATTTTAATATTGCCTTCCTTTAAAAGTACAAGGATATACATAATCTGGTCCTTATTTTTAGCCAATGGAAAGTAGAAATATCTAGTGTATTTTTCTAAACAAATGTATAAAAATTAACTTATCTGCATATGAAGCATTTGTACCAAACATTGGGTATTTAACAATGTTTATTTATTTTTTTTGCACAAAAAATATTTCTACTTACTTTCATTACTAAAGGTCTAAAGGCTTCAACATGTACACAAATTGTTGCTGAGGTGTGTAGCATCACTGAATAGCTAATGCAGCACTGTAAATTTACTCTGCTCATTTCAACTGAGACATATTTTTAACAAAGTATTATTTTAGTGTTTGCTTCTAAAATAGACTGTTAAGCTATTGTTGTAAGGTATGAATATTTGTATCTCTACATACTTTATTTATGACGTATTTATACAAAAGGGGACTTCTGTTTATTATGACTCCTATATATCACTTCACTGTGGCATAAATGTAGAGCTAGAATCTGATCTCAATTACACTTGTGTAAACGTGCATTAGCTGTAAATTAGATCAGAATCTGCCCCTCTAATGACTGAATTAATAATATAGTATAGCAGTGTCTGCCATTACCTCTCTCTCATATAAGGTTGTTAGTGTTTGCTTTTTGTGTCTTGGTTTTTGTGTTCACTTTGAGACAAACTTGGTCTATAAGTCTTAGCCATAGAGTACTTTTTTAAAAAAAAAGTCGCTGTTTTTAATTTACACAGTTCGTTAATAAATATACTGGTTTTTGCATTCAATCATGCATCTAATTTTGTCTTATAATCGAACCTCCTTTTAATTTGACATTTATTGCCTAACTAGTCTGGTACATGTTAATAACATCTTGAACTTGTGTAGGCACAAGAAGGTGAATTAACAATCAAATGGAAGCTCTCCTTTTAAATTTCCTTGATTTTTGTTTGTTTAAATTTTCACAAATATGACGAATAATTACATACCTAGGTCCTCAATCCTGCAAATGCTTAGGCACAACCCACTGAATTACACATGTGGGTAGTTTAAAGTTATGTGTGGGTATAAGGGTTTGCAGGATTAGAGCCTTAATTTGTGCTCAAATTACCAGTTGAATGTAACTAGTCATTTCCACACACAAATTAGGCACATAAATGATAGTGCATTTTTCTGAAAATTTGGGCTTTAATGTATGTTGTTATACCGCCACACTCTTGTCAATTGTAAAAATAAGTATTAAAAAATATGACTGAAGTTACTCAGTAATTCGCGTATTGTTGCCACAATCTATCATGTTGATGGGAGCTAGTATATTTAACCTGAAATGCAGAGTTTTTCTAAACATACATGCAAATCCACTGTTTTTTTAAAATCCTTAATATTTGAGCATTTTTCTTCTATTTCATTGGGTTTTTTAATTGTACTCAAAATTGTCCACGTTATAGGTCTAAAAATGAAATCTGAAGCCCAAAGGGTCTTTGAGTTAAGATTGCAATAGAGAAAAAACCCTCTAATAGTACACTACTTCTATAGCTCTCATTTCTTTAATTTTGAATGAATGCCAAAAATTAAAGTAGAATTTGTTGTAATTTATGTTGCCCTGAATCTGAGACCAGGCACTTTCAAATGAAGTTTGTGGCAGTTGTATGAGTCCTTATTTAAGAAAATATCCATAGGTGTTTCAATATTTTGGTTGTTATCTTCTCCCATTAAGACTCTGGTGTTGGTTAGTGTGTTTTGTTTCCAGGAGTGGATGTCAAATCAGGGTAATCATGTTTCTGGGATTTTTTTTTTTAAAAACGCCTATTCTGAAACCTCATTGAATTATTAGCCTAGCTTTCATTTTACCCGTACATGTGCACATATTAAGCACATAACCTGTTAGTTTCTGACCATCATGTAGTGCATAAAAACAATTATTTGGACTCCATCATTGTACAAGCGGTGCAGCAAACATAGGCTGACCTACAAGACCTGTAAAGTCAATTGACTCCCCTGGGACTTCTGCCACAGATGAGAGGGCACTTTAATTGTAGAACTGCATAGCTCCTAAATGACTGGACAGGTACCTTATTTAATCACACTGGTACTCACCATCCCATGGGACTTCTCGTGTCATGAAAGCTGGAGGGACAGTTCAGTATAGACCCAATCCAACTCCCATTAAAATTGAGTCTTTTATCATTAATCATGGGAGTAGCTCTGTTGACATCACTGAAAATGCTCACGTACTTAAAGCAGGGGTGAAAGTAACTTAAAGGACTGTAGCCAGACAGCCAGCCCCCCCCCCCCCCCCCCCCCCCCCAGACCAGCATTGCTGGAAACACAGGAGGAAGCAGGAACAGGGCACTTAACATATATTCCAGCACAGCCTTTGAAGCACAGGTGTGCTGCTACAATGTGCCTCTGGGAACAGATACGACGATTAAGCTCACAGCAGGCAGGGGCCCTGTGACAGACATGGCTCTTAGCCCCTACTAAGTAGCGTGATGCACACACACCAACATCCTAGGTGGGAAAATATTTACCCTGATAAAAGAAATGTCCAGTAGTCGAAACTTATTGTTTCTCTCCCTTGCAAGTGTAAACTACTCTTGCAAAAGCTGGCGTCACCCCGACAGACCAGCCTCAATTTGGCATAAGAAAGGAGAAAGAGAATAAAGGAGTACAGAGGTATAAGTAGGGGACCTACAGCACCATGATTTTGGAGTGCTTTTCACTATCTATCTGCTGGTCAGATAAGTGACAGCCTCCCAAGGCTTCTGCAGCTAAGAGGGTCCCTACGCCTTGTCCCTTATTCGTCTTTCCGCGGAATTGAGTGACCGATCCTGGCTTGGCACCGCTGGAATCGAGAGATGCAAGGAGGGTAAGAAGCACCCACACCTGATCTCCTATCTTTAGTGTACACATATTTTGAAATAGAGCTCTATACTTTGTTTTCTTTCTTTGGGATTGTGGCTTCAGTTTTGTAACTTGTTTGTGTGTGTGTAACATCTCTACATTTAAATAAGTAGGCACTAGCAATTTTGTAACCACATGATTAGAATCTAGCTTAATAAATTTTGGTAACCATTTGTGCATAAGCCTGACTTGTTTTCTCTGGTTTACTGTAAAGCAGCCATCACAATTAAAGAACCTCAGCCGTTTTGGCTCTAAAGCCTGGCCATTAGGTGAGAGTACTAAGAGCCTAGCGTTGAGTTGTGCCGCCTCCACGGGGCAAACTCTTGGGGCACCTGTCAGTCAATCCTGGCTGCCCGCTGCGAAGGAGCTCTGAGCTCTAGCAGTTAAAGTCACGGGTGTGGAGAGGCTCTTAGTGCTGCCATTGGGGCACCTGTCAGTCAGTATTGACTGCCCGCTGCGAAGGAGCTCTGAGCTCTAGCAGTTAAAGTCACGGGTGGTTAGGACCTTGGGGCATCCGTCAGCCTAGCCCGGGCTGCCCGCCGCGAAGGGACAGTGCGTCCTAGCGGTTAAAGTCACGGATGGTATAAACGGGCATAGCTGGCACCTCACCAAACATCCTTGGTCGTCGGCTAACAAGGACTTACCTGTAGGCTGGAGTCCTGAGCAGGAGGCGGGGCCTCAATGGGAACGGGGAGGGCTTTAAATCCCCAGGCCCTGTAAATCAAGATTTAAAGGACCTGGGGCTCCAGCTGCGGTAGTGGTGGCTGGGAGCCCGGGGCCCTTTAAATCTCTGTTGGAGCTACCAGCTGCGAAGGCGGCTGGGCGCCCCGGAGCATGGGGGCAATTTAAAGGGCCCAGGGCTCTAGTTGCTGCAGCAGTATCTTGAGCCCTTTAAATTTCCACAGGACCCCCCCCAGCCACCACCACTACCCCAGGGCTCTGGCAGCAGGGCTCCAGCGGTGATTTAAAGGTCCCAGGGCTCCCAGCAGCGGCCAGATCCCTGCGCCCTTTAAATCGCCACCCGAGCCCTCCTCCTGGAGCCCCGAGAGAAGCAGCGGTGGCCTGGGACAGCGATGTAAAGGGCCCAGGGCTCTGGCCACTGCTACTGCCCTGGGCCCTTTACATCGCTGTCTGAGCCCTGCTGCTGGAGCCCCCGGGCTAGTGGTGGCAGCTGGGGACTCCAGCAGTGATTTTAAAGAGCCCTGGGCTCCCAGCCACCACTACCGCACCGGAATCCCAGACCCTTTAAATCGCTGCCCAAGCCCTGGGCTCCCGACTGCCTCTGCTACCTGGGGGCTCCAGCAGCGGGACTCCAGCTGCTGCCGGGAGCCCCAGGCCCTTTAAATTGGCGGCTTGAGGAAGCACAGAACGTGTGATGTCCAGAAACCTTAGTGACACTGGGGCACCATAGCAGCTCAGCCCCCACTGGCAGTGGAGGATCCTTCCACAGCAGTCAAGCCTCTGCAGGCGTTGGGGGGAGCATTCCAGCAACCACGGGCAGAAGGGTCTGCAGCTCCCAGCCAGGGGAAGATGGAGCTGTGGCAGAGAGAGTATATTCCCCTGCCCTCCCCGGGGCAAAGCTAGGTGAGCAGGTGCCTGAGCTCCTCTCCCTTCCCTCCCACCCTGTTGGCAGCTGGCCTGAGCCCCTCTCCCTTTTCCTTGCCTGTCCCTCCACATGGAACTGGCCAAAGCGCGCCACCCCCACCCCAGCACCGAGCTGTCCCAAATGCTGTCTCCCCTCCAACGGTGCAAAGCTGCCCCAAGCCCCCTCCTCCTCTATTTGGCAAAACTGAGCATATGTCCCATTTGCTCTTGCCACCTGGCGATCAGTTGACACGAACAAATGCACAGAAATCAGAAGGTCGGGCCCCTGCCCTGACCAGCCCTGGCCCCACTGCATTCTCCCGTGCTGCCCCTAGGGGGGTATGTGCTACAGTTTGGGGACCACTGCCCTCGCCAGCGGTTGATTAGAGCTGCCCAGGGCCCCCCCCCATCTTCCCTGAGTGTTGGGGGAAAGGGTGCCCAAGCGCGGCCCTCCATGTCCCTGCCCCCAAGGGTGCACTACCCGGGGGTCCAAGGTTCCCTACAACAGCCCCAGCTCCCTGGGAAGCTCTTACCACGCCTGACTTCTGGCCGGCTCGGGGGCGGGGGGGGCTTTGGGAGAAGGGGAGGCATGGGGGGGGGGGCAAATGTTCTTTGTGCCCAGGGCCCCCAAAAAGACACTTCTGCTTGCTCCGCCCTCAAATGTAGACATCAAACTATGCCTATGCTGCTTCTCCTGAGTCATCGGCTGCTCTCGGCCTAAAGGGTGAGTGCTAGGTCTGCTGACAATGAGTAGAAAATATGCGGGACAAATTCGGAGCCTAGGGCTAGGTTTTCTGAGTTGGGCTGGTGTGTGAGTTTAAATTGGGGTGTGGGGGGGGGGAAGGGGAGACGACCCAGCCCTGCAGAGGGTAGGCCTGAGCTGTGGTTAGGGAGACAGAATAAACAGCTTTAGTGGGGTATATAAGGCTTTAGATGGAGGACACGGAGATGGTGGGGGAAGCTGTGATCTGCGTTGAGTGCAGGGAGGCTGGACTCGAATGAGGGTTTTTGCTGGATTGCGATTGGATGAATGAAACCAATAGGGCAAAACGCGACTTTAATGATGGGACGAGGCGCATGAAAAAAAGGCGTTTTATATAAAATTTCTCCCACCCTTCTGTTTACTGTATTGTTCTTCTCACTGAAAGTTTCTCTCTTCACGCAGCAAAACACTTCCTTGTGACCCCCCCCCCCCCCCCCGGGCCCAGTCCTTCACAGTTTGTTTACTGAAAATAGGGCCACCTTGCAAAATGGGAGGTGGGCATAGTATGTCAGCCCACGCCCCCCCCCCCACCCCCCCGATGTGATGGACAGCTCGCTAAGAGGCCTAATTTTCAATTGATGCCAGGTCTTTCGCCTCGCCCACTGCTTGTTAAATTAGTGGCCCCAGAGCCAGCTAGCACAGCTCTCAGGGCACCTCATGGAAAGCAAGCACTAGAGGAGGGTCCTATGGAGCCCTAGCTATAACTCTCCATTTTGGGGGCTGTATGTGAGTGCTTCTACCAGCAGGTAGCACTTTATCTGGGAGCTGGGGCGAAGCGCTTTACATGTCAAGACAGAGCTCTGGCAATGTAGCACTGCAGGGGTCGGGGTTTGGTTGGATTTTTCACACCCTGTGTGACCTACTTGGGTTGCCTTAGTATGGCCCGTTCTATATTTTAGTTGCTGTAGGGATGACGGGGTGGCCAACCTGCGGCTCTGGTGCCACGTGCGGCTCTTCCGAAGTGACTATGCGGTATAGGCTCCGGGGCTGGAGCTACAGGCGACAACTTTCCAATGGGGGGGTGCTCACACCTTTGCCACAGGCCCTGTCCCCAACTCTGCCTCCTACCCTGAGCCTCCTGCACGCCATGAAACTGCTGGTGGGTGGGAGACACTGGGAGCAGAGGGGTGGAGGAGTATTTGACCATTGGTAAAGTCTGGCTCAGAGTGACCACCCCTGGGCTAAATGAACATGCGATGCTGCGAGCCACCAGGTGGCATTGTTGCCCAGTTTTTACTTAGTTTATGAGCAACGTATCTTCTTTGACACACGGGGAGGCTGTTGCAAACAGAAGGTGCATTTGCTCTCTACCTTCATGCGGCTAACTAGAGTCAATGCTTGAGGCTTAGGTGTTCCCTGGGAACCAGGCATTGGTGTTGTGGCTGAGAGTCCTGAAAGACAGGAATGCCTGTGTGAATACCACTGTTCAAGTTATATTAAGGAACCCCTCCTCCCCCATTCCTGCAGCCGTAATCTTTTTCCTCCCCAAAATAAGGCGGCTGCAAGGCCCTGAAAGCTGCTACTGTGACAGTGTAAGATGTGGCTTCTCCTGGTCTCTGTCATAATCATATAATTGGCTAAATAAATTTGGAAACCAAATGCACTGAAGAAAGCCCTTCCCGCCTGTAGCGGTTTACCTCATCCTACCCTAGCAGATAAACAAGGTGTGTTTAGAGAGGAACAAAGCAGGCCGGCCACACTGGGGGACTCTGTCCTGGGAAGCAATGATTGAAAAAGATTTTGGAGGGGCATGGTGGATAATCAGCTGAACATGAGTGCCCACTGTCGCCAAAAGCACTAATGTGATCCTAGAGAGGCATAAATGGGAATCTGGACTAAAAGCAGAGCAGTTATTTTACCTCTGTGTGCCTTAAGTGCCTATAAGGCATGTTTTTTTAATCCTTTAATTATTCCCTAGTTCTCCTCTGAACTTCCTTTATCAACATCCCTCTTGAATTGTGGACACCAGCACAGGCCACATTAGTCGAGCAGTTGCACCAGTAGCAAATATAATTTATTTATCTTAATAAAGAGAAGGGTGACTTGAGGAAAATGTATTTAATAAGGGGCTCTTCAATTTAGCAGAGAAAGGTATAACATGATCCAGTGGCTGGAACCTGAAGGTAGACAAATTCAGTCTGGAAATAAGGTGTAAATTTCTAGCAGTGAGAGTAATTAACCACTGGAATAATTTACCAAAGGTCATGGTGGATTTTTTTTTTATGAAGATACGCTCTAGGAATTATTTTGGGGAAGTTCTGTAGCCTGTGTTATAAAGGAGGTCAGACTAGTTGATCACAATGGTCCCTTCTGGCCTTGGAATCTGCAGCCTTGATCTCACCAATCTCCCCTCCTCCTTCTCTGTTAAAAGATGTGTGTGTGCTGGGAGGGGATGGGTATAATAATGAAGGAAAGTGGGCTATGATCAGAAAGAGAGAAGAATCTGAATTGTTTGTTTCCTCTCCTTTAAATCTATTTCTGGGGTTTAACTGTAAAGACCAAATGACAAGAAATCACACATTGTAAAGTGCAGGTAGCATGCTTTATTTCAAATGAACAATACTATCTCAAGGAGGTTCAACAAATACAGCTAACAATAAAATTGACTACTATGTTAAGAGAACTAAATCAAATTGAAGGTGAGGGCACTATTGTGGTCTTAGCAACAGTTCTTTGGATTTTTTTTAAAACTGTGGTTCAGTGCTTAGTTGCTTGGCAATTACAATACGTAATAGATTTCTAATACTACCACACAAGCTCACAATCATTGCACCTCGGAACCTCCGAGAGGCTGTACTGCTGCTGCACTTGAGTACCTAAACAACTTCGTTGAAG